ATATATATATATATATATATATATATATATATATATAAAGTATACATGAAAGTAATATGATTAATATTAAATATAAAAATATATAAAAAGAATTGCATAACAACTTTGGTGAAAAGTAAAATATTAACTACATTTTTTAATACATTATACATGTGTAAAAACCAAACAAATGAAATAAAATATATAAAAAAGGAAATATTACTGATTTGAAATTTAGATTTCAAATTGTCGCTTCGGATCTCGCGCCCCTTTGGGCTTTGGCCCTTTATTTTCGGCTATTATTTTACGTTCAACTCGTTACCGAACCATTTTGAAAACTGCATTAGTTCAAATAACAATTATCTTAGACATCAAACAAAAACAAAAAGGCCTTTTTTTTAATACACCACTATTTGATTATAATATATCCCCTATTGTCTTTTTTTTTTCTTCTCCAAATCCTCTTCAATTTTACTGTCCTGAAAAATACTTTCCATTAAAAAATTAAAAAAAATACTTTCAAAAATATCCTCCAGAAGAGTAAAAATATACTTCCAGAAAGTATTGTTTGAAAAAAAAAATTCCTTGAAAATATTTTTCAGGAAAAGTAAAATTATACTTTTAAAAAGTACATTTTAGAAAAATAAAAATATAATTCCAAAAAGTACTTTCTTAAAGTATATTTTAAGTTTTAATCCTTTCAAAAAGTAATTTCCAAGAGTTAGGTTAAGAACTACAAAACAATTTCAAAAATTAGTTTCCAATAATAATAAATAAAAAAAATTGTTTCTAATCATGTAATATTTTCATTATTGGCAGATCAACAATGTTTTAGTGTATTTTTCACAATATAATCTATGGTTCAAGAATTGCATGTTCTCCACAACACTTCAAGGGATGATTATATTCATAAATTTCCTCTTTGCAAATGCCAACCACCATTTATTTGGAGTGCCATTAGGTCTGTATGCAACGCTCAATAACCTCCCACTTGTTTCTTCCCTTATCTGCTTCAAATAATTTCTGAATAATTCTGCATCGTTGAAATCACAAAAGCTTGAAATATAAGAGCATATAAAAAAAAAAATATATATATATATATATGGTAAAAAAAAAATGTTGATTAAATAGCAACTGCATAAGACAGTAAACACAACAATGCATAAAAGGTCAATGTATGCCAGCATGCAGTGTGCAATCTCAAATTCTCAATGTATTTATACAAAGTTCTAATCATTAATTATGTAAAGTAGTGGCAATTGCACCAAGAAACATAGATTACAATCATATTCAATGAGCTTGAACACAGAGTTCGGACAATGATGGATCATCAGCTCTTTGAAAAAATACGCAAAAACCCACTTGAGTGGAGTCTGGACTCTTTAAAAAGGCTCAATGACAAATATATACAAGGAGAAAAATAACCAACATGTACCGGTATAAATACAAGCTCAAAATTCTTCATAGATGCATAAAGTAATAGAACTGAAGTTTTTATTCCAAGGATTTTTTTACATATCAAGGAAGTACATATTATACTCTTTATAAAGTATTTATTTTCTATCTATTTCTTTCAGTTGAAATCCAAGCACCAGTTAACCTGAGCAACACTGCGAAATTTGGATTAGAACAGCCACATAAAGTCACTTAGTGTGTGTGTGGATTGCAATTTGAAAGCCTCTGAATGGAAGTCTGGGAATTCCAAAGCAGTAAACGGAGAAAGAACTACCTTGTGTCATTGAAGCTAATGTATGTTACATTCTATATAAGTTTTTTCCAAACACACCTTTACTGGTTAGTAAAAGTTAGTTGTTTAAAATGACTCTGAATGACAGTTTTCCAGACTTGAGTTCTTCATGTTTCTCATGATCAATGCATTAGCATTTGGCATCACTCCATTCCATGTTTCTATTCTTAAGTTCTTACGATACCTATCTAGCTTCATGCCTAGGGTTATGCTAGCATCCTTACCTTCAGAAAAGTAGAATACTGATAATGCATGGAAGGAAGGTACTATAAATGGTTCATTTTTTTGCCAAAGAGTAGACATTCCTTGTTGGGTGTGTACCCAAAATTCAAAAAGAATAATTTGTTGTCCTTCAAACAACACCAGACATTGAGGCTTAGACACCGCTCATTTGATCATGTAAGTTTAAAGTGTACTAAGCCGGCAAATGTGCAGATGGTATCAAATCTTTGGTAAGGAATTGATTGAAATATAATAATTAAGGAATTATTCAAATACAATTTACTAACTATTGTCCTAAGAGAAATGGTTAAAGAACCAATAAAGACAATGAATAGCAAAACCCATTCACATACTATAATATATCACAGTTCTTGGAAGGTGGGCACCAATTAAATAAAACTACACATTAACATGTTGAAGATATTTATATGATTAAACTAAGCGTATCCATCTACTAATAAGAACATCAAGGTGAAGGAGTAATTATCACAGGATTCACCTGTTTCCTTTTGTGATTGAGGAAGGGGGAAAAGGCCAGGAAATGGAAAGCCAGACTCGCCGGGGACAGGAACCTTTTCGAGGCCCAAGTTGATGATTGCCTTGGTTCCTTCAGCCAAGGTCCTGCAACCTTCAAGCCTCTTGAGAGCAACGTTGATGTAAAAGGTCAAGTATATGAGAAGCTTATCCGCGGGACTCTTAATGTCAAAGTTTCTGAAGAACACATTGGCCCTAAAGAAGGTGATGGCTTCATCCACGATATCAGTTGTGTCTGCACCACACATCATATCACAGTAAGAGCATATTCCACATTCAGAAAACGCAAAAACCACAACACCACAAAAAGCAATAGAAACCTTGATCTGAAACAGGAGCAGGTCCCTTAATGTGGCTCTTCAGAGGAAGAAGAGGGCACCCACAAGCTCTATCCACTCCATCTTCATTCACAAAACTAGAGTGATAAACCTTCTCATACATAACAACAACAACAACAACAACAACCGTTTTCAATTGGGAATCAAAATTTGATAACCCCGCCCCCCAAATTATGAATTTTGAATAAGCATGAATTGAATCCCCGTACCATTTCTGTTGTGTCGGTGATAAGAACAAATTTTGCTCAGAAGAACTCAATTTCAATCCCTAACGTTTCTGGAAATGAAGGGAAAAATCAATCCAAGCATATAAATATGTAATTGTTTGGAATGAGAAGAAATTGATAAATGTATAACAATAATTGCAAAACTTAAAGTAAATTGATGAATTAATTTACCAAATTTGTTAGGTGATGCGAAGGTGAGCGTGAAATCAAGATTGTGGACGAAGTAATTTGTGGGAATGCGATCTGAGAACAATAATTAGAGTTTATTACGTTGTCGACAACACTTACCAGAGAAGTGAAGAGAAGCTTGATAATTTTATGTGGGCCAGCCTTCAGCTGAGCCCAAGCATTCAGCCCAAACCGGACACTCTTTGTAGCATGGCCTAGTTAGGTTTTTTTTCATCGATAACAACATTTTCTTTGTTGATTTTTATGAGTTGTGTGTTGAATTAACATAAATGCTAAGATTGCTATTAGTTAACAATTTTACATGCATGTGGATTTTTTTAATGTTTTTTTATTTAAACAAGGTCTTATAAAACTACTTATTAGATTTTTTTCCCCAATCTTTATTAAATTCTTTATTTTGAAGTTTCTACCACTTATTTTTTATTTTTATAGAATAAACATTCTTATGTATTTATTTGATCAATTAAATTGTGTCTACATAGTCAAAATTCTTATTTTGAATTATAAAATAGAAGGTGTGTTATCCCGGAAATACTTTTGACATTATTATTATTGCAAAAATAAAATACAAAACTTTATTTTGAGAGATTGAGTGTAGTTATATTAAAAAATATTTTTGTAACATATATTTATACTAAAATAAATAATTATGATACATATATTTAGTGTAAAATTAAATTAAATTAAATTATTTTATATATAATTAAAAGTATTTTTAATATTTTTAAAATGTGGATACCTGTATGTATGGTATCTTATTACTTTTTCTCACTTCATTATTAAGCAAGTAGCTATTTAATTATCCATTTAAAATTCATAGCCGATTTTACTTATTAATATTCGTGGAGATGAATTTTTTGTTATCTCTAATATATAGATTGATCCAACTTATTTAAGGCCTAATCAATGAAAATCTTACATTTTAAATAATCGAACATACTTACTTCATAAAATAAATAAACTTCTTTTTAAATTAGTTTTTGCCATGTCAAAAGCCGTGGATAAATTAATCAGTCTAAGAGTTAAAATAATGATTTAAAAAACATGCATAAAATTAAAAAAAAATTATTTTCAATTTTAAATTAAAATCTATCACACTAAAATGCACCAACATTTAGAATAATCTTAAATATTAAATACTAAAGTGTCATAAAACTAAAATTATTATAAATATTTTTATAATAGTTTCAAACTTCCAATAATAAAAGCATCAAAATATCTTATAAAATAATCTAAATAATAAATACAAACTAATTAAATATAATTTAAATGTTTTAATAATTTAAAAATTTAAATACACAACCAAATATTAAAGTATGAAACCTCTAATAATACATCCTTATTTATTTGGAACTTTTGTCCCTTTTTTAATTTTTCTTAGTTAGTGATAACAAACGTCATACAAATAACTTTCATTAGGAGTTAGTATTCGTTTATTTATTTTGTTATACTTTTTAGAATAATAAATATATATATATAT